CTAAATCTACTAGAAAATCCAAAGCAATTACTCCCTTTGCAACCAGAAGAAGCCATGTTATTTTTGTCTACCCCTGTTCTTCTGAAGTCTTGAGATCAATCACTCTTATGAGGGAGCTTATTTAGATATACATAAGAAATGTCTCAATCACCTATACCATTTCCTTGATCTCGCTTCAATTAATGCCACCTCTACGTTTTGGCATAAATTGTCATTTCTCGCTGGTATGATCCAACCTCCAACTTAGCATTTTCATTCCTACTGCATTCATCTTATGGACATGTATTTTAACAACCAAATACTCGATAAAGTTCACTGGTGTAATAAAGCTTTGTTTCTTGTCATTATCTTCCATAAATTACTAAAATTGGAGGTGGTTGTCTCTGATGACGGTTTGTCGAATTTTTTTGTTAAGGTGATGGAAAAAACAAAAATACTCTTAAGCTTAAATAAATAAACAAATAAATATAAAAAGGAAAAATTGAAAATTTTAGTCTTCTTCCTCAACAAATAAATTCGACTGAAGCAAACGAATATGAAAAGCAATTAATTCTGGTGGAAATCACTAAATAGAATAACTCAATAAATAATTGTGAAAACAAAAAATAGAATCACCGAGAAAACGCTCAGCGGTAACAAATGGAGAGGAACAGAGATTGATTAGTCTAAACACATGAAAGAAGAAATTCTCCTACGCCTAGGGTTTAAGGAACAAACCTAGCTGCATGAGAACGCTGAATCTGGTAGTAACCAGCATGGTGCCCAAGGTCCTCGAGAGAAACTCCTCTAGGATCAACCAAATTGGGAAACTTAACACGCCACTCGACAATATTCTGACCAGAGGAAAAGTAACGAGAATTTTCACGGTCTAAATCAATTACATTGATCGGTTTATTAGGGAACAAGTTGAGGTCTCGGATTAGCTTCTCTGCCCGAATCGATGGCGGGCGGAGCAATGCCACGGCCGAAGAGAGTATAGAAAGGAGGAGAAAGGCGAAGATAGAGAGAAATTTTGCAGAGTAATTCTCCATTTTCGTGAGAGCTGGTTATAGGGTGGGATAGGAAATTGAGATGAAGCTTTATTTTTTGTTATTCTAAAATCTTGAGGTGGATTTATTATAATCCTATCTTTTCCTCTAAGATTATTATCTAATAATGCATTTCCTACTTGTAGATTATATTCTAGATTTTCTAGTCTTTTATGTATATCCTCAAAACTTTCATTCGTAGTGTTTTTAGGTAAATAGGGATAACTAGGTTTTTTATGTTTTTTAACCTTTTCCAAAAATTCTTCAATTATATTTTCTTCATCTACTATATTCATCATAATTTTTGGTTCGTAACATGGCTCTGATACCATCTGGTCGGAGTGTGCAGCGGAGGGGTTAATATTTTTGAGCCAATTAGATTCTTCATAAGTATTTAAAATGTCACAATAGAATTTATAAAACTCACTATTTTTTATTACACAATAAAATTTATAAAATTCACTATTCTTTACCAATATTTTTTCTTGAATAATTATGTTTAATTTTTTAATTCTCCTTCTTAAATTAAGAATTGATTTATATATGTCTTTTTCCATTTTAATTGCTTCGTTATCTATGGAATCATTTTTATTTTTTATTTTTGGGTCTAAATATTCTATAAAGAAGTCTTTCAGATCTTCTTCTAGATAGATTAATTCGTTTTCTGTATAGATTTTTAGATCAATAAAATTTTGTATAATATTTGGATCTAGATTTATTAAAAATTTATGATCTATATTTTCTTGAGGACTTATTTGAAGATTTTTAGACATTGTAATGGCTTTGGTTGCAATTTCTCTATTAAGGGTATTTTTGGAAAATTAGTTGTTTGGAGACTAGTTTTCAAATGTTTTTATTTCTCAGGCTAATTTGGAAAATCAACCTTCTATTTAAGCTATAAAGCTCTATTTCCCACTCTTCGTACTCATGGTTACTAGAATAGCTAAACTCGACCCTACCCTTGAAACTCTTCTTCGTGAAGTTTGGTAGGTTTCATCGACTCGATCCCAGTCGGGTTGAAAGAAAGAGGCTCAAGTCTGCCTCATTGTTGGTCTACTGAAAAAAATACCAAAGGAGCTCCATATTTTTCATTTCATTTCTTCTGAAAATACATCCAACCAATGAACTCAAACGGCAACCTGTGGGTACCAAATGCCATCAAAGCAGCAGCAATAACATATGATGTCCATAACAATTTTGTAAAGGCAGTTCAGTTTGTTCTATGAATAAGGTACAATAATACATCGAAATTACTGTACATGGCTATCTCTGTCTGGAAGTCTTAACCATATACAAATTATAAACAATCCAAACAACTATAAGATTAGAGTGATTTAACTATTGTTACAACAACTAAGATTCGAAGTTAAATGGATACTGAAGCTTCAAGTTTCAACTATATTTCACATTGCTGTGCAGATAGAAAGCCTCCGAAAAGACCTAGAATATGATTATCTAGTCGAAAAGCCCCTCATCATGCCAGATATCAACCAAAAAGTCTACCATCTCCTGCATCAGTAAGCATATTTGTACGTTAGAGACTACATAATAATGCCCCACACGCACGCACGCACACACAAACAAAAAAGGAAAAAAAATAATTAATGAAATGAAAAAAAGAAGCACGCATGTGAGTGACGTGATATTGGTAGAGCAAGTCAGAAACAGTAGGAGACGACCAAAACTTAGCTGCTAAGGATACCCAAATTTATTGGGACCAATGCTTAGTTTGTTGCATTTGTACTAATAATGGTAGTCCAATTTTTATGCAGCAAAAAAGTAAATACCCTACTCAGCTGGCACATAAAGCTCATTTAAAGACAACTAAAAGTTTGTTTTAGGGTCCTCGTTCGAGTGAAGGGGACACCTAAATACTTATAAAGTACATCTGTAGTATCTTTATCCAGAGAACTTACAGGTAAAGGGATTGGTTCGGAAAAAGGGTCATTAGTTGAAAGCAAGTCTTCATAGGTCATTGACCAGCTGCAAGAGCAAATACCAGAGTAGATTTCAATGTATAAACTTATAAACCGAGAAATGAAAACCAATGACATCATTAATGGTTCTTGGATACCTCAATATACTAATATAGTGGTTGTCATTAACCTTTTCACCACAATACATATGTGCGTATGCATATGTAAAGAAAGGCACGAGTTTAGTATCCTCAATAGCTCCAAGTAGGGAAGAGTAAACAGCTAAAACTTTGATCTACTCTAAAAAATTCTCTTTTACAGAGAAAAAGGACCACATACATATGTGCAATGGAAGCAGTTGTATTATATACCCTAATTACTTAGAACTATATAACAAAATCATCTTATTACAAAACTTTACGTGGGCCTTCAAGGCATCAATAAATGTAGAGCAAAGTAACCAGCTGTTCTTGTTGCATATAAATAGATTAGTCAGTTAAGTATACAAATGTCAATTAACTCTACACCTAGTCTAAATGGCAACTCCAAATTAATGATACAGGATATGATCTTCTTCTAGCCATTCATTTCATTGCTACTATATCGAACAGTGCTACATTTGCGTCCCCCTATAATGTTATTTGTTGGGTGGTATTGGGCCTCTTTCACCCCCAAAAAGTAGCTCAAGACGTGAGGTTTTCCTTCACACTTATAAATCGAATACCAACCTCATTTATAACCGATGTAGGACAACCTCAACAATTTCCTTCTCACACATCGGGCTTTGCGGGAGACCAAACCCGTCTCCCCCTCACACAAAGGGCCTGCGGGAGATCAAGCCCGTCTCCCCCTCACATAAACTCGTATCTCCATAACTATTGAGCCAGAGACGATTGTTGGGCCAGAGATTTGTTGACAAATCGAGCTCTGATACCACGTGTTGATCCCAAAGGGTCGTAAAGAATGAGATTTAATGACGATGTAAGGTAATAAAGATCACAATAAGAAATAAAATTAAAAGTAAAGAAATAAACAAAAAGAATTTATCGCAGAAGAATGATGTATTATAAACTGACAATATGGAGAGAGATTACAAATACAGCAATAATGCTTAAACAAAACTGATAGAGGAGACTTGTATTTATAGGCCACATTTCAAACCAAAAAGTCCTTAAAGGCAAGAAAATATATTATAATTAGGAGACCAAATTTCAATGGGATTTTGTTTTCTTGTTGTTGAATGCAGTTACTCCTTTCCAACACCAATAACATACGATCCAAGACTACTATTTGAGTCATAACTCTAACAATCTCCACCTTAACTCAAATTCCGGTGCAACGAGCAGAGCTCCATAAAATTCTCCACTGAGAAATAAATCTATTCGCATCAAAATGAAATGACAAATCTCCTCAACACAGTAACCAAAACTCTCCATATAAACCATCGTCCTCTGCACAGCGTCCACAAGCGACACCTAAACTCTATTCCCGAGTTCCCAAAATTCCCCCAAGGAATTAATGTTCACCAAACAGGGTCGAAGCACACCCTGTAGCAGAAACCATACAACATGCCTGAACAGAAGGCCCCTTGCTAGAATTGTCGCCTTTAACGTCTCCAAAAGCATTACAGACATCACTGACACCACCCGATTCCTATTTACTCGATCCATTGCTCCCTCGTTCGTGCTCCCGTCTTTCTTCCCTAGCAGAGTCTCACGAAATCTTCCCTCTTTGCCTTAAATTACATCTGCGTTCATCCTCAGCCAGGATCGAACTCTCTATGAGATTCATAGATGCATTACTTATAGCTTCGGTACCTACGCTTAATGGATCCAATCCTAGTAACTGAACACAGTGCAACCGCTGAAATTGGTAGCAAAGCGGAATCACCAACGCTCTCTCAAACAATGTTCTGAACCTACCCAAAGCCCATTACAAGAGGTACTGTACCAAACTGAATATCCACCACGGTATTGAACTTGCCCATATATGTCTTAACTAGTTCTGCGCTCCCCTGTAAGATGTACAACTGAGACATTCTCCGTCCTTCTAGTAGAACCCGGACACCCTTTCGAACCTTCAAGACTCCACCTCCACTAGAGTACTGACTGTCCATCTTGCATCCAAAGTACTAAACAAGATGAGATTCCTTTTCAGGTTTGGAATATGTCGAACCCGATCAATTGTTCTGACTATCCCATCCAGCAGTCTAAATCTGACTTGATCAATCCCAGCAATACGGCAAGACTAGTTGTTTTCCATTACAACTCCACCTTACTAGACATACGAGAGAAATTCAGATTGAAACACATATGATGGGAATATGCCGAATCAAGAATCTACTTCTCGTCAAGCCTAGATTCCATGTTAGATACCACGGTCAACATCACATCTCCGCCTTCTGAAAAACCGTCAACTACATTTGTTTCATCTGAAGTCAAAAGTTGCGCTCCACGATTTGCAATTAAATCACCTTTAGCCTACAACTTATCGCAATCATTTCGAATATGTCCCTTACGTCTGTAGAAGAAGCAAAACAAATTGCTATTATTCTTCAATCTACCCCTCCGTCGACCTCCATGAGATACAAGAACTTCCTCATCCCTTGATGTAGCTCCAACTAAATACTTTAACTTCTCCTTTGAGTGCAAAACATCATAGACGTCGTTATAGTCAAAATATCCCAACCATACAAAATGTTGTCCCGAAACGACGCATAAGAGCCAGACAGCGTACATAACAGGATCAAGGCCAAATCCTCTTCATCGTACTTAACCTCCAACATTTTCAGATCTGTAACTATTTCCTTGAACACGACAATATGGTCTTCCAGTGACCCTCCTTTCGTCGTGCGATGAGAATATAGCTTCTGCTTTAGAGCCAGTTTGCTCGTGAGACTTTTAGTCAAGCATAACTGTTCCAGTTTCAACCATAAAGCATCCGTTGTTTTCTCTTTCAAGACATCCTGCAGAATATTGTTGGATAAATGAAGATGGATTTCCAATAAAGCCTTCCAATCCCTCCGTTTTTTCTCTTCCGTTGTCCAATTAACTATCATCTTCTCAAAATCTAGCAACGAATTGTCCAAATCCAACCGCGCTAGAATAGCCCTCATCTTGACTTGCCACAAAGATAGCCCTCATCTTTACTTGTCACAAAGAAAATCTTGTATTGCAATTCAGCAGCGAAATGTCATACCTCACGGTAGTCATCTCTGAAAAAACCTCAACCAATCCACAGAAGAGAAAACTAAGCTCTAATACTACTTATTGATCCCAAATGGTTGTAAAGAATGAGATTTAATGACAATGTGAAGTTATAAAGATTACAACAAGAAACAAGATTAAAGTAAAGAAATAAACAAAGGTTATAAAGATTACAACAAGAAACAAGATTAAAGTAAAGAAATAAACAAAGAGAATTTATCGCGAAGGAACGATGTATTATAAACTGACAATATGGAGAGAAATTACAGACACAATAATAATGCTTAAACAAAACTGACAAATGAGCCTTGTATTTATAGGTCGCGTAGACCCTAAAAGAGTCCTAAAAGACAATAAAATATATTACAATTAGGAGACCCAATTTCAACGGGATTTTGTTTCCTTGTTGTTGAATGCAGTTAGACTCAGCTTCAAGACCAACAACATGCGATTCAAAACTCCTATTTGAGTCACAACTCTAACAATATTGTCAATCAAGGAAGGCATAGGAAATTATGTGCAGTACCTTATAATTGGATCCTTTGGCACCCTTTCCGGCCTCTGAGATAGATCTCCAATCCATTTTCTCCTGCTCTCATGCCATGAAATTGCAGCTAAAAATACAGACATATTAAAGATCTCTCATTAACCTTTTCACTTTGTTGTTAATTTTATAGAGACGAGCAAAAAATTTTCTATTTTATCCACCTTTTAAGTTTAAGAGTGCGGATAATTTATTTTATATATATATATTGTGTAGGTCACACTCATTTTTTTCATTGCAAACCTAATCGACTTTCATAAATGCTTGAAGCTATTAGGAAGAGAACTTTCTTTATTTATATGTGTATTTTCAACAAGTCGGATTATGTGTCAACCATTTGTCTTCAAGTTTGACAAATGAAATTTTTAGAACAGGTTAGCTGCAAGATTCGAACCCGTGACCTTCCACATTACACAAGCATCTATAATTATAACAGAAGATAAATTCAAGTGGCATATATTGGAACACTGGATATAGTTTGAATATATTCATCAAAAATCACCAGATGCACCAGTCAAAAAAGCAATCATACTGGTATTAATGATATGCTTCGACGAAGAGGTCAACCTAAAATGCACAGAATTAGGTAATTAAAAAGGATATGCACCTCCACGGTTTAACTTTGGAAATTGAAACAATGCAGTGGAAGAAGAGAGTCGTGTAACCAGATAACAGGCTTTGTTAAGTATATTTGACCAACACATTATGAATCACGCTATTTACTTTAATGTACAATAGCCATGGATATGACTAAAATCATTAAAATATTTAGCCCCTTACTTTTTCCTTTCTTTTGTTAGTTTACACACACATAATTTTTCCTTGAAAACCTCTAATTCAGTTATCTATTTTGATAAACTTTCAATCTGTGTACCAATAAAGGCAGCAAGGGTAGACATAAAAAATATTAACTTTCTCATGTCATGATTATCTTTATATGCTCAATTCTGTACACGGATAATTAAAGCAAGACTTACCATGATTTACGAACACAGAAGTGCTCATGTGATTTTCTCCTGGCCTTTTCGATTCATTAACTGGTGTCGGATTCTCCAAAGTTATATTCTTGTTGCAGCAGGAAATTCCAATATCAACTTCCATAGTGACTAGAATGAAAAACCATCCCCTTTCTGTTGAAAGGGAAACTATCAACAACTTGTTTCTTCAAATGATCTCTTAAGATTGTCTCTTTATGTATGGTTAGATATGACGAAGGATTTTAATGTAACTACTGCTCTGCATAAAAGAGATTCACTTTTAATAAACAGAGCAAAGAAGGACAATTGGAATAGAGAAAAAATCACCTTTGCAAAACTTTTACTAAAATGGAAATTGAAATGTAGTTACATCTGTATTCAACTTTCAAAGTGAGTATGCACCAACTTGTATTTCATATTAGCATGAGTTGTCCTAGAACATAATATTTCGAGTGAAATTCTAATGTTGCATATAGAAAGAAAAAAGTAATATCTGTAGTGTACCGTGCGTTCAACTCAAACCCAAAAGGTTACAAATGAAAAGGCTGTAGGCTTATGCCATTAATTTAGCAAGTGGTGCGTCAGCTATATTGTATAAGCTTTAACACTCCCCTGTGTTCTCGACTTGAAAAAAGCAAAGGCTTTTAAATTCATATGAGAAGATTTCAAAAGTCAAAACAAGTTGCAGATGAATTAATAAAACTCAAAAGAAATTCACTGAACAATTAAATAAGAGAATAAAGAAATTGGGAAACTCGAAGGCATTCACTATACGAGTTCCCAACTCTAGAATGTATAAGCAAAATAAGACATGGGAGAAGTAGCATGAAAAAAAAGGCAATTAGCTATCAAATGAAGCAAATAAGAATGAGTGACTTGATCGTAAAACTTAGAAAGCGGACGGATTAAAACAGGGAAGACCTCTCAATTCTATTGAACCTTGGACATTTAAGAAATTGACTCTCTTTACAACAAATATCTTCGTCTCATGGCAACTTGCTCTGGTCCCATTATGAAACTTCTGTTATTAGTTAGTTATTAACCATATGCTTCACATGTTTCTGGTGATTCACATGGCATCATCAAACATACTTGAATAAGAGTAACACGCTAAAAATAGACTCGTTGATGATCCTTTACTCCAAAAAAATTTAAGAATCCTTAAACAAATGTGGTAACTTACAAGTAAAACCTTAACTCATCCCTCTCTTACCAAGACCATAGAATGTTCTTGTGGATTTTTGGGACAAAAAATTGTTGGAAGAGAGAGCTCGATCGCCTGGAATCTAGCTGTTTCCTCCACTCCGTCCCACCTATCCGGTTAACTCTTCCATCCAGAGCACACTAGTTCTAAGAACTAAGAAGTGGGCGAGCCTCGACTATGCTATGTATGAATGATCTTTAATATTTCATGAAAAACCCGGTGGAATCACGAGGACCTCCCTTTCGAGGTTCAAAAAAGACTAATTCTCTCTTCCAATCCACCCTGAGGAAGTCACTACTCTTTCACCTCATCAACAAACAATGTGATTAATTACCATTACACAAATAGATAACAGCTTCCCCAAAAGAATGTCAACGAAATTTTACCAGAAAAAGATAATTCAAACCAATACCAAAAAATTGATCTTTCACAAAAAACATTAATCTTTTTCCACAATTAGCAATTCCTAATCCCAATAATAATTAAACATAATTAAAGATTCACAAACAATTTACCAACGAAACCAATAAAGAAAAAAAGAGGAATATTCTTAAAGCAAGAAAACATAAAAAAATTAAAAAATATATAAAGACAGCCTATACCATTTCCTTGATCTCGCTTCAATTAATGCCACCTCTACGTTTTGGCATAAATTGTCATTTCTCGCTGGTATGATCCAACCTCCAACTTAGCATTTTCATTCCTACTGCATTCATCTTATGGACATGTATTTTAACAACCAAATACTCGATAAAGTTCACTGGTGTAATAAAGCTTTGTTTCTTGTCATTATCTTCCATAAATTACTAAAATTGGAGGTGGTTGTCTCTGATGACGGTTTGTCGAATTTTTTTGTTAAGGTGATGGAAAAAACAAAAATACTCTTAAGCTTAAATAAATAAACAAATAAATATAAAAAGGAAAAATTGAAAATTTTAGTCTTCTTCCTCAACAAATAAATTCGACTGAAGCAAACGAATATGAAAAGCAATTAATTCTGGTGGAAATCACTAAATAGAATAACTCAATAAATAATTGTGAAAACAAAAAATAGAATCACCGAGAAAACGCTCAGCGGTAACAAATGGAGAGGAACAGATTGATTATTGTCTAAACACATGAAAGAAGAAATTCTCCTACGCCTAGGGTTTAAGGAACAAACCTAGCTGCATGAGAACGCTGAATCTGGTAGTAACCAGCATGGTGCCCAAGGTCCTCGAGAGAAACTCCTCTAGGATCAACCAAATTGGGAAACTTAACACGCCACTCGACAATATTCTGACCAGAGGAAAAGTAACGAGAATTTTCACGGTCTAAATCAATTACATTGATCGGTTTATTAGGGAACAAGTTGAGGTCTCGGATTAGCTTCTCTGCCCGAATCGATGGCGGGCGGAGCAATGCCACGGCCGAAGAGAGTATAGAAAGGAGGAGAAAGGCGAAGATAGAGAGAAATTTTGCAGAGTAATTCTCCATTTTCGTGAGAGCTGGTTATAGGGTGGGATAGGAAATTGAGATGATGGAGTAACATGAATATATATATATATATATAAAAGGCGGGGTGAGTGGACGTGGGCGTAGGCCTAACGGTCAACAGAGAATTAAGAGGGGTTCAGGGGTGAAATACAGCGTATTTATAGGCTGGAGTGCTGCTACACGTTTTACAGACCCTCACAATTGTGGGCCTTGACGTATTTTTATGTTACGTGGGACTGACCCATATAATGAAGATCGGTAAGACCCCAGTGAAGCTCAGCTCTATACACATAGCTTAATGCTATCGACTGTTTGGATACGAGCAAAAGTCTATCATTATTGGATATAGCCCGTATCGTCAGGAAATTCTGCGAAGGGTGAAATGACAGACCGTAATTAGCAATGTTAAAATTTTGATAATTTCGATACAGTGCTCGATTTTTTTTTACTGAGGGAATTATCGACTCTCACCATAGCAAGGCTTCACTTTTTTTTTTTTAAACTTTTTTATTCGCGTGAGATTCACGACATGTGAAAAGATGTCAACCATTTCGATAAAAAAATTTGGACAAAGTAGCAAAATTTAAATTTTGAATAAAACCACTTAGCCAAATTGAAAAACAAGGAGTAAAGGAAAGGTGTTAGAAAATGATTAGATGTTTTTGTTTTAATTTGTAAAACTGTCTAATTATGCATCGACACATGTTCCATATGAATTTGAGTATGGATGTGTAGTATAGTTGTAAAAAAAAATTTCCAATTGCCAATCGCAGTCTGCCAAGTGTGAACCTCACAAAATGTCTGGTAAAATCCCTTGGCATTGCAGCAGGATTCATCATTATTCGATTATTAAATAAGTTATAATATAAGAAAAAAAGCCTGCACCAAATAATATCAAAAAAAGTTGATCGTTTTTTAATATTTAATTTTATTAATTACAATACTTGATTATTTTGATTATTCTATTAAAGAGAAATATAATTATTAAATAAAACAACGGTTTGAATTTTGCAAAATTACTTTTAAAAATATTTAAGAAAGGGGTAAGAAGAATCTAACTGGAAGTCATCCCATGTGGGTAGGGACGAATGTGCGGTGACTTAGACTCTAAGCAAGAATATAGCTTAAAGTTCTATAGTTAGGTTAAAAAAACTCACTTTATAAACTTTCAACATCAAAAGTTTCATCTTTCTCTACAGTTTCACTTTTTTGGCTATAGGCTTTCAAATAGCTAAGTTAAACTCTTCGTACTCATGGTTACTAGAATAGCTAAACTCGACCCTACCCTTGAAACTCTTCTTCGTGAAGTTTGGTAGGTTTCATCGACTCAATCCCAGTCGGGTTGAAAGAAAGAGGCTCAAGTCTGCCTCATTGTTGGTCTACTGAAAAAAATACCAAAGGAGCTCCATATTTTTCATTTCATTTCTTCTGAAAATACATCCAACCAATGAACTCAAACGGCAACCTGTGGGTACCAAATGCCATCAAAGCAGCAGCAATAACATATGATGTCCATAACAATTTTGTAAAGGCAGTTCAGTTTGTTCTATGAATAAGGTACAATAATACATCGAAATTACTGTACATGGCTATCTCTGTCTGGAAGTCTTAACCATATACAAATTATAAACAATCCAAACAACTATAAGATTAGAGTGATTTAACTATTGTTACAACAACTAAGATTCGAAGTTAAATGGATACTGAAGCTTCAAGTTTCAACTATATTTCACATTGCTGTGCAGATAGAAAGCCTCCGAAAAGACCTAGAATATGATTATCTAGTCGAAAAGCCCCTCATCGTGCCAGATATCAACCAAAAAGTCTACCATCTCCTGCATCAGTAAGCATATTTGTACGTCAGAGACTACATAATAATGCCCCACACGCACGCACGCACACACAAACAAAAAAGGAAAAAAAATAATTAATGAAATGAAAAAAAGAAGCACGCATGTGAGTGACGTGATATTGGTAGAGCAAGTCAGAAACAGTAGGAGACGACCAAAACTTAGCTGCTAAGGATACCCAAATTTATTGGGACCAATGCTTAGTTTGTTGCATTTGTACTAATAATGGTAGTCCAATTTTTATGCAGCAAAAAAGTAAATACCCTACTCAGCTGGCACATAAAGCTCATTTAAAGACAACTAAAAGTTTGTTTTAGGGTCATCGTTCGAGTGAAGGGGACACCTAAATACTTATAAAGTACATCTGTAGTATCTTTATCCAGAGAACTTACAGGTAAAGGGATTGGTTCGGAAAAAGGGTCATTAGTCGAAAGCAAGTCTTCATAGGTCATTGACCAGCTGCAAGAGCAAATACCAGAGTAGATTTCAATGTATAAACTTATAAACCGAGAAATGAAAACCAATGACATCATTAATGGTTCTTGGATACCTCAATATACTAATATAGTGGTTGTCATTAACCTTTTCACCACAATACATATGTGCGTATGCATATGTAAAGAAAGGCACGAGTTTAGTATCCTCAATAGCTCCAAGTAGGGAAGAGTAAACAGCTAAAACTTTGATCTACTCTAAAAAATTCTCTTTTACAGAGAAAAAGGACCACATACATATGTGCAATGGAAGCAGTTGTATTATATACCCTAATTACTTAGAACTATATAACAAAATCATCTTATTACAAAACTTTACGTGGGCCTTCAAGGCATCAATAAATGTAGAGCAAAGTAACCAGCTGTTCTTGTTGCATATAAATAGATTAGTCAGTTAAGTATACAAATGTCAATTAACTCTACACCTAGTCTAAATGGCAACTCCAAATTAATGATACAGGATATGATCTTCTTCTAGCCATTCATTTCATTGCTACTATATCGAACAGTGCTACATTTGCGTCCCCCTATAATGTTATTTGTTGGGTGGTATTGGGCCTCTTTCACCCCCAAAAAGTAGCTTAAGACGTGAGGTTTTCCTTCACACTTATAAATCGAATACCAACCTCATTTATAACCGATGTAGGACAACCTCAACAATTTCCTTCTCACACATCGGGCTTTGCAGGAGACCAAACCCGTCTCCCCCTCACACAAAGGGCCTGCGGGAGATCAAGCCCGTCTCCCCCTCACATAAACTCGTATCTCCATAACTATTGAGCCAGAGACGATTGTTGGGCCAGAGATTTGTTGACAAATCGAGCTCTGATACCACGTGTTGATCCCAAAGGGTCGTAAAGAATGAGATTTAATGACGATGTAAGGTAATAAAGATCACAATAAGAAATAAAATTAAAAGTAAAGAAATAAACAAAAAGAATTTATCGCAGAAGAATGATGTATTATAAACTGACAATATGGAGAGAGATTACAAATACAGCAATAATGCTTAAACAAAACTGATAGAGGAGACTTGTATTTATAGGCCACATTTCAAACCAAAAAGTCCTTAAAGGCAAGAAAATATATTATAATTAGGAGACCAAATTTCAATGGGATTTTGTTTTCTTGTTGTTGAATGCAGTTACTCCTTTCCAACACCAATAACATACGATTCAAAACTACTATTTGAGTCATAACTCTAACAATCTCCACCTTAACTCAAATTCCGGTGCAACGAGCAGAGCTCCATAAAATTCTCCACTGAGAAATAAATCCATTTGCATCAAAATGAAATGACAAATCTCCTCAACACAGTAACCAAAACTCTCCATATAAACCATCGTCCTCTGCACAGCGTCCACAAGCGACACCTAAACTCTATTCCCGAGTTCCCAAAATTCCCCCAAGGAATTAATGTTCACCAAATAGGGTCGAAGCACACCCTATAGCAGAAACCATACAACATGCCTGAACAGAAGGCCCCTTGCTAGAACTGTCGCCTTTAACGTCTCCAAAAGCATTACAGACATCACTGACACCACCCGATTCCTATTTA